GGTAAAAGTGAAACATAAACCAGGTCAAATCCATGCAGGAAAAAGTCTTTGGTAACTATTAAGCACAAAGATAGCATTTCATCTGTTTCAGAAGTCCTGAACCACATTTGTTGGTGTGTTCTGGGGAAGTATTATGCAGGCTCGTATCTGTATGCTTGCCTGAGCTCTTGGCTGTTTCTGGGTTCCAGATGTGGGACTACCTGGACTTCAACCCAGGTCTCTTCTGAAAAAAAACCCTACAAACCAACCATGATGGACATCACATCAATAAATAAGTTATGAAGTAATTGCAGTAATGGCCATTGTATAGGAAACTTTAGAGAAAGTTTATAAACCTGATTGAGCATAAAATCTTTCTACTTTAGTATAAATCTAAAATTAATGGTCTGAAAGAGCAGGAAGGATTTCCTATACAGTGTATGCAGTCCCCAATAAAAAGGTCAGACTTTCTGATGAGTTCCAGAGGGATAAAAAAATGTTTAGGAGAGACCTTTTTCATCACCTACGAAACCTCCCAATTGCAAGAGCATTACAAGGTCAGCCCTACCCTCCCTCTGTGTCCCTCTGGACTGTTGCGTAGCCAGGCACCACTAGAGCGGCTCTGCAGCAATAACTGCGTTATCCTACAGTAGCTACCCGCCGTTAGTCAGGTGAATTGCTGATCCGAGCACAGAATGGTGACCCCAATTCAAACAACAAACAACTCTTTGTTGCTTCTTATTGAACAAAGGAAAAATGAAGAAATCTCTTTTTAAAAGCAACCTTTTCCCAGTTAAGTCACTTTATTCCTTTTAGTCCAGTACAGTATTAATTTATAATTGCAAATTTCCATTCCAGAGTAAAATCTCTTCAGAATCAAGTTCTTAGGTTAAAAATTTGCCGTAGGGAATTATATATTGAAATATTTTTATTCACTATTTTAAACGCTTGCTGGCATATTCAGGTGTTACTATTGTGCAGCAGTCCATTAAAATAAGATGCACTTTTAGAGATACGTTTAACTTTTTTCCATTCAGTTGCCTACAAAATAGCTATTGTGCAAAAATTAATAAAATTTCACAGATGAAAAAAAGACTTAAATTTCCATACCTGTGGATTCTATTGAGTTGTCTTCTGCAAGAGCTAGAGCAGCAAAGAGAGGCAGGAGGAGGAGCTGCGTGAGCACCTGCATTTTGGTGGCAGCTGGGCAGGTTAGAATTTTCTACCCTTTATACCCCCTGATATTTCACAATCATCTTGTATTACATCGTATCATGGAGGGAGGACTTAATCTCTCAGTTACTGTTTCTTTTTAACAGATATAAATGAGAAAGTAACAGGTGTGCCCATTATTTTTTTATTTATTTTTTAAATATGCACTGCATGGAGTAAGTTTAACTGTGCTTTTGTCGGTGCTTGGGGGTTCAAAGGATATTTCTCAGTTGATTTCATTGAGCATCTACTTGGGTGTGTTGATGTGGGCAGGAATGTTCTGGAAGGGATTGCCAGCCTCCCTTGGGAGACATATTCAGCAGCACTGGTCCGCAGGAGCTTGGTTCTTCCCATCTTCGTTTTGACACCCATCCTTTTAGCTTGCACTGGGGAAATCGTTCTGTCTTTTCTGAGGATTCCTCAGGTTGTAAAGTGCAACTATCACAATAGAGTAGTTGTGAGTAGTAATTCCCTATTGCTTAAATGGTTATGGATGAACAAGGCCGGATTCATGTTAGAGATTTAAAAGATGATTGCACTGCAACCACTTTGCAGATAAAACTTTTAGTCCCACAGCAGAAGCTACAAAGAAAAAAAAAAAAAAAAAGGAATCAGCCTTTCCTTCCTGAGGTAAGGAGACAAGCACAGTCCCAAGAGCCTCAATTCCTTCTAGCATGAGTCTAATGAGTATCTGTGTCAATATAATTACGTTACTTTGTCTTGAAATCCAGAGCATTTCCTACTGCAGCGACAGATACCCAAACTTTAAAGCTTCCAGGGCTGTGATGGTGCCAGCGCCACAGGTGTGCTGTTACCCTGACCTTGGTTGGGTGCAGTACCTGCGGGGGGTGTGACCAGGCAGGGTTCATGCAGGAGCCTGGCTGTGTGATTCTTTCCAGTGCAGAGAGTGGGTATCCCACAGCTGTGCAAACAGCTGTTCCTCCCAGTTTACTAGAAAAGTCAAATTGCAATGCAGACCTTCTTGAAACATATCCAGGTGATTTACTTTCATAAAGAACTTCCATTATGGGTACAAGTTACTGCTGGGGACATTCCAGTTGGACACAAGAGGAAAATTTTTCACAGTGTGAATAATCGGCCACTGGAATAATCTCCCCAGGGAGGTGGTGGGTTCCCCAACATTGGACACTTTCAAGATTCAGCTGGAGGGTGCTGGGCCAACTTGTCTAGACAGTGCTTTTGCCAAGAAAAGTTGGACCAGATGATCCTTGAGGTCCCTTCCAACCTGCTAATCTACGCTTCTATGATAAACAATTTTTTTTAATGAACCCTTTTTTTTTTTTTCTTTTATAATCAAACTGAAATATGCATCTGTAATGATCCCGTATTTCTAATCTCAGACCCATGCCTTTTTTAAAACAATTTTCTCAGATTTTTAACTCACTTTAAGGATTTTGAATACAACTCTCTTCATCAAGACAACGTACTTCTACTGCCTCTAAACACAGAGGCATTGAATACATGCATAACGATGTTGCATCACATCTGAATTCCATTTAGCTTCTGGAAATGCTAAATTTGCATTTACTCTGTATAGTCTTTCATTTCTTAAGCCCACACGCATACTTGCAAGCGATTTTCAAATACTGACATCTATTTTGTCTGAGTTTCATGTGTGAACTGGTGTGTGGAGCCTTGCCAATCAATGCTGTGTCTATCAGAATCAAGAAAAAAAATGATTGTGGCCATGACACCCTGGTAATTTACTCTGATGGTTACAGGTTGGTAGTTCAACTGTTTGGAATTATCTGTATGTGAATGATTCGGACATTCTGTTGCTCTGGAGTTGATACTAAGGGACTGGATCCCTAAGCAGTGGCCTGGTGATTCTGAAGGGCTGAGCGGGTGCTCCTACTTCGAGCTGGCTGGCAGCTCCGTTTGCACAGACAAGTCTCTAAGCAACTGTGGCTGCTCCTGCTGCTCCGTACTTGTGCTACAAATCCCAGTGTTCAAACTGGTTTTAAATCTTGTGTGTTAAGCCCATGTGATGCGATGGTGTGATGTGTTCAGATATCAGGTGATGCTGAAATATTAATGGCCCGCTTTGAAACTCCTCTCCCACCTCAAAAGAAAGTGGCCAACAAATCTTTAGGAAAGTCCTTTAAGATGAGAAGATGATGACTATAGGGAAGGTGTTTTACAATAGCAGATCCTCAGAACAGATTAACGTGCATTTTAGTGCAGAGGAGCAAGGATTCAGCTGTTGTGACACACATTTACAGGCATTTTCTCTCACTGCAGCCAGGAGTGCAGCAGCAGGGAAAATGTGATTTCAAGCACTTTAAATCATTACCTGTGAGAAGCAGAGCAGCAAGGTTAGAGTGTGATGGATGTTTGTAAGAACTAAGTATGATCAGGAAATAGTCTGGCTCAGGACGGGTGTTACGGTCCTGCAGGATGAGGACTTTGGCTCTGAGCCCGCTCAGCCAATGCCAAGGCTTAACCACCAGGTAAGAGATTAGAACTGGAGCCTTCGTGGGAGATCTCTATAATTTCGGCATTTGAGAGCCGGCTGTGTTTTTCACGGAGAAGTTGCGTTTCAGAATTACTCTAGTCCCTTTTTTGAAGGGATGAGGCATAAAAACTTGCTGAAAAAAGTGGATTTTTTTTGTCTTGTGTGGTACAGCCCTTGGCCACTCGGCATCCTTACTCAGTACAGGACATCTCATTATGAGTCTGAGTAATCGGCACATACTCGCCATGTGGAAACTGAGCATTGGCCTTAAAGATGCTTTCCATGCTCAGGCCAAACTCACCAGATTATCAAAATTGAATCCATCTCTTTCCCTGAGATGGCTGCTGTAGTCCTGGACAGTTCTGCAATCGACAAGATATTTTTCTCTACTATGAACTGAAAATTATTAATTTCCATTTTTTTCCCACTAAGGCATTGCAAGCAGGACAATTTAACATTAACGAGCAGAAATGCTTTCTTGGCTTAAAGTGATACTGTTTGAACAGATACTGAAAGAAAAAGGATGAAGCAAATGCTTACAATGAAGTAAATTTAGATGTACGATCTTTTATAGTTCTAATCTCCAGTAATAAAACCTGATAGCTATGGAAAGATTGTAATAGTTTATAGGTGTTGCAGAGATTATATCTCAGTATGTGTACAGTATTTTTTGCAAATATTTTTGAGCTCATATTTAAGGTAATTGCTCAGACATTGCTGGTTACAAGGGATGCTTATCCTGTGATTTATGTCTCTGAGCTCAGAAAGCAGCATGTGATGTGTGTGTCTGTGAGGCAGGTTAATCTTCCTTAAATGCTCAGTATTTATTTGGTACAACGGGGAGAACTGGAAGAACTGTGAGAGCAAAACAAAGTCCTGATGAGAAAAATCAGCCAACTGATCCACTTTTTGTCACTGAGAGTATTTACTGAAGTTTAGGGTTTTACAAATCTGGAATATAGATTCAGAAGATCTGAAATTAAGGAACACAAGTACAGTTGAGATTAAAATACCTTTAGATTTACACCCTCTAGTATAATGTATTTTTAGAAATCAGTAGCAAATGTGCAACACACTAATCATGGATGTAAGTGACCAACATAATGTCAGAAGCAGCATTATTGGGGCTGTTTGGGGATGATAATAGTAATGACACGGTCACTTGTGCTTCTTTTGCCTCTTATGATATAGCCCTGGTAGCGCTGGGAAGAATAACTGTTGTAACTGTTGCAGCCTACTATTTGGCATCGTAGGCAAACTCCTGAGGGGGCCGGACCTCTGAACTGGACAATCCTCTGGCCTGGTGAATAGTAGTTCCTACAGGTTGGGACCCTTACACACCTGAGAAAAGAAAAAAAGGAAAAAGCTCACATATAATTATTGTACAAAAATTGTGACATGGTCACTAATCCCATTTGTTTCGTTGGTTACAAGAAACTTTCCTTCAGAAATTTCTAACTGTGATGTTAATTACAATTCACAGCACAGGACTCCTGAACACAGCTGCAACTATACGGAATTAAAATTTCTGTGGGGGTATAATATGTAACACAACATATATAAATGTCACACGTGTATGTAAATGTATAAATGTAAAGCACCTGATGGAATTCTGAGTATGTGAAAAAGAGTTACTGTGTAGGCCTGTTACCTCTCCAAAGCTATTTTTTATTTCAGTGTTAGAATTTCTAAAGAGCTATGAAGAAACATTTCCATATACCAGATCAGCTAAAACCCCTTTAATCAGATGCTTCATCCTTCTCTGATTTTTTTGATATAATTTGTGAAAGACCTTCTGAGAATTTATACCAGTTTTTCTTCCCTAGAAGAATATTATGGTGAATTAAACATAAAAAGCCAACTAAGAAAACTGTGTTTTTGTCCTAATAGCTAGTTCACTTAAAATCCTATTGCTCCTTGCAAGCAGGTAGCTTAAATGTGTTTCAGGACTGTGTATCTTTGGTGTATGTATTTGTTGTTGAAGTCAATCACATGTGAGGAATTGTTTTGAAATAGTTGTGGAGAGATTTTCCTTATTCTCTTCTGACTAAATCAGATGCCACTGTCATAAAGTCATGAGGATTTGGAGAGACCACACACGTGTCTGTAAATAGCATCAGATTTGGCTCTGTGCAGTAGAGGCTAGCACGAACAAACAAATCCTGTTTTGGCTGAACATGGTATGATGAAGCCCTCAGCGAATTTGAAAAAGATGGTGAATCATAAAAGGCAAACTTGACAATAAATCATCTAGGTGGAGTTTGCTGATACAGAGACTCTGTAACACTGAGTATTGTTTGGGCACCAACATTTCTGCGTGTTTTGTAGTTGAGGTTGGCCAGAGAATCTGTATTTCTGCTTTTGAAGGTTCTAGAAAGGGATCCTTCTGCTGTGTTGGAACAGGTCGTGGCTTGATGGGCTATGAGTTTAGACCTGCAAAGTATGGCTAAGAGCTTTTTCTGGATGTCTCTAGAAAGTCAGACAAGCTAAGGGGTGACTGGACTCGGGTATCCCTGCTGGGAGAATCCCGGCCCCCCAGGATGGCCCAAGTGCAGGTCCCAGCTGAGGACGCTGCCAAGTTGTGACGCAGTCTGCAGAGCTGTGCAAGATAAGAGAGGTGAAATTACTGCCGAATCCACTACTGTCCATTTGCGTTCAGTGAGTAGCTCAAGGACTCAAGAGGGAAAACAACAACACGGAGAGGTAGAAAGTCTTAAGGGACAAAACCCATGGAGAATCGCAGCTGAGCAGAGGGGAGGGTCTGTTTCAAGGAGTATGGAGGAAGGCCAACCCTCCCCTGCCTGACTGTTTCCTGGCCAGCAAAGGCTCCTTGGGAGTCTCCTCACTGTGGTGAGTATGCTACTGCCCAGCTCCTTAAATTCTACTCTCCATTTTATTATGTGGGAGTGAGTACACCATATATGTCACAGCTGTACTTAACCCTCTCGCAGAGTTTCTTTGTTTTGGTCACATTTAGCCACATGCAAAGTGACCTGACGAGGGAAGGTTATCAAAGGGAAGCGGGGCGGGGAAGTGTGTGAAATGGGGAAGGTTGGTTATATCATATAATTTAGAATAATGAACTTTTAGAAACGTAATTTTGTTGTTGGGTTAATACGTTTGTCTGTGCTGTAGATGTTCCGCCTCAACTTCCTGACTCTTGTCATTCACAAAGCCACGGGGTGGCATCATCCAGTAACAATCTTTAAAATTATATTTATTTTCATAAATGTTGATAATGTTTGAGCATGTGATAATTTCAAACCCATCTGTCCCTACCAGCCTTCTTGTGCCACAGCATCTCGGATGGCATTTGAAACGGGAGTTGACTCCAGGCCTACGTTGGGGGTGACTCATGTCTGTTCCCTCCATGGTAGCCTCTGGAATTGGTGTAGGGTCTTCTGGTGGACACGGTTATGAAAATTCCCTTCCCTAATTCTTATATTAATCAGGCTTTAGAGGATGAAAGTGTATTAACTTTGTTAATACATATTAGTTCATATTATAAACTAATGTAATGAAATAGAGTTTTACTGGAGAATCTGGTATTGTTCAGACTTGATTAAACTAAAGGACAACTCAGCCCTGGAAAGAAGGACTGTTTTTTTTGTGGCAGCTTAGAGCTGTCCAGGAAGGATTCCCCCGGACAGCTGAGATAATACCAGCACCCCAGCCCCTCTGACATGTCTTTGAGACCCTCCCAACATCACCTGGTGTCATAGATCAGTAACTCCATCACGACTGACTCCAGGGACATCTGGATCAATAGAGAGGCAGCAAGAATGCCACAGAAATAAAGTTGTTTGGCAAAGTTTTACTGTGACTGGTAATCAGTAGTGCGGGTATGAGTGATTAGTCAAATTGTGTTGTACCTGGACATTTGGAGGGTGTAAGAACCCGGTGTGAAACCACGTGCAGGGTGCCCCAGTTTGCCTGGGACACCTCATGTGCATGAAATATTTACCCCTGTAATTTTATACTTTGCATCCCGGGCGTCCTGGGTCGGCACAGGCCAGTTAAGAACCGTAGTACTGTCAACCGCATGTACTGAGGCAGATAGTGAAGGTTTTCTGGAGAAGAAATGTGATGTTAACAAACCATACGTAAGCATAGAGTAAAATGCAGCATGTATTAAATCCTAGTATGCTTTACAAACATGAATGTGGGCCTTGCTGCTGTACCTGGAAATAGTGACTGAGTGGAGAGAAAATTAATTTCTCTTTCTTTGATGGTGTGTACCATGGAAAGCTCTTTACTCCTTCCTAGGACGAACCCGAGGTTACACAGTTACTGCTGTCCAGCTGTCCATTCTCTGGAGGGAAGAGGGTGAGCTCACCATGATAACGAGTGGTTTCTTTGCCTGCGAGCCCTCCAGAGCACATGGGCACCGAGTGGCCGACAGCCAGGCAGGCTACGGGCAGATATTTTAAATGCTTTTTTTCCCGTAAATGGTGCAGACATAGGCCAGCTGATCCCCCTGATGCTTATTGCTCAGGATGGTTGGGCTGCCAGCCCCTCTATCAGCAGTGTGTGGTCCCTGGGTAGGCTGTGGCATCCCCAAGCTCTGCCTGCTCCTGGCCTCTCCCACTCCTCCCTTTCTTCTGCACTCAGATACCCTCTGCCATTCAACTGCCAGGCTCTCCCAGCTCACGTCTCCTACCCTTCAGCCCTGGGGAGGAGAAGTCATTAAAGAGAAAGAATGAGAACAACTTACCTTGGCTTATAGGTCCTGGGTCTGGTTTTGAGCGGGCTTTTAATGCAAAAAAAAAAAAAAAAAAAAAAGAAAAAAAAAAAAAA